GCTATACCAGGAGTTAAAATCCGCGTTTTTGCCGGAAAACTTGACAAGTTTGATTTCCGCACGTGTCGCCATTTTTCTCTGAACTCTCTTTGTGCCGCTGTTTGGAACTCGAATCGCCCGCTTCTGACACCAATGTAACAAGATGGAATGGTCTCACCTTGCTCTCGTGGGTTCTCTCGAGTTCTTTGGCTTGACTTGGCTGAGTACAGACGGGAATATCCAACGCGAACCTCTCTAAATAGCGTGCACGCTCTAACTAAAACTCAACTCGAACAAACGTCTCAACAGTAACAAGTCCTAACTTGAACATCCGGGGTCTTAACCTCTGACCCCAAAACCTGATTACACATGTAAGTTACTGTAATTTTCTGTCGCCTACACGAATAATACAATGTTTTAGTTATAGTTATAGTGCAATCTGTTTGCTTATAGGATACAGGGCACCATGTGCCTGAAAACCACTGGTACAGTCGAACAGAGGACAGTTGAGAGAATCCTGTTCGACTTCAAGCTAACTCCAGCACAGGTTTGGAAGGGGAGCAACAGAAAAACAGGGCGTAATATATGTATTACTAACTCACTGACTCACTTGTTCTGTCTTTGAACACGCAAAATCAGTCATTCATGTTACCTTAGAGTCTTCCTTCCCTTCGTTTATTCGTACCGGACACTTGTGTTGTAACTAACCGATGTGTGCACTGCTAATTATCTCGTTCTACGAGGCTTAGCAGTATGAAAAAAGAAGAAAGAAGTAAAAATTGCTTTATAACTTTTTAATGAACTCATCAATGACATCAAAGACATCAATGCACAAAACATTTGTCAAAATACATTTGAGAACTTGCCCTATAAGAGGTTAACCAACTTCAACAGATTATAACGTTACTATGATTGCCTCAAACAGGCATCTGACAGATTCTGACATACCGGTAAGTACATTCAACCCATAAACTTGCAACTTGAATGCAAGGCACTCACTGCCTCAAAAGTTCCTTTAACCTACACTAGTACATAAAATACTACTCCTTGCAAAATAATGAACAAAATCAAAGCACAACAGTGCTCTCCCTACAGTACAGGTCTTGTTCTACAGGTACAAAGAAACCTTTTTGTAAGAATTCACATACCTGTAACGGTACACAGTTGGTAAACTATACCTACAGATGCAATAAGGAACAAAATCAAAGCACAACAGTGCTCTCCCTACAGTACAGGTCTTGTTCTACAGGTACAAAGACACATTTTTGTAAGAATTCATACATATAACGTTACACAGTTGGTAAACTATACCTACAGATGCAATAAGGAACAAAATCAAAGCACAACAGTGCTCTCCCTACAGGTACAAATACACATTTTTTCATTCACACATACAGGTCGTAAACTGTCTACGGTACCCATAGATTGTTCCTGTTGGTATCCAAACAAATCAAGTCTGTGTTAGCAGCTGCACTGAGTTTTCAAAACAGAAAAGTGGAATGGGGGGGGGGGGACTTACAAACAAACACACTCAGAACCTAAAACAACCTATGTTATGGGATGACCCAAGACATTCCGCACATGTTCAATTTGTACATTACTTACCCGACGGTCTACTGTAAAAGTTTTGTTAGAAGGGAATGACGGATGCCGTAGCCTAAGACAATATAAATCAACATGATAATATCTGTTGTTAGATGGTGTAATGTCTTTTGTGCCTCTTTTGAAGTCACGCTCAAAATGTCGTAAAAGAATTGACAGTGGCGGATACTTACTCGAAAAAGAATCCCTACACCCTGCGCAAATTCTACCTCTACAATTGTTGATATCAATTAATTCCCATGGAGCATTACTGGCGAGCCATGGCTTAGGACTTGGAGGGGTTACATTGGAGGCTGCATTTTGTGTTTTGGCTTTACGTAACGTTACATTAGAGGCTGCATTTTGTGTTATGGCTTTAGGTACATTAGAGGCTGCATTTTGTGTTATGGCTTTAGGTACATTAGAGGCTGCATTTTGTGTTATGGCTTTAGGTACATTAGAGGCTGCATTTTGTGTTTTGGCTTTAGGTACATGGGCTGCATTTTGTGTTTTGGCTTTAGGTACATGGGCTGCATTTTGTGTTTTGGCTTTTGTCACCAGTACTGTTTCCCTGGTAGGGGACCTCCTTCTTCTTTTCCTGGTGACTTGTTTTCCCCCCCCCCGAATTCGCAGCTTTTCCAGTCAACAAATGTGTTATTTTGGGTTTGATCCCTTTTTTTACAATATAGTTTACATATGTTAAAGAGGTCTCCGCAATGGTGAGCTGTGGCAAGACTGTGTGCACATATGGTATTTGCTTTGTATCCCTGACAGTCGCATTTAAATCCCCCCCCTTTCATTGGCCCAACAAGGTGTGGTTGCTTTGATGTCATGCTTGCTACCAGTCTTTCTTTTGGCCCCCCAAAACCTTCCCTGATGGATCTGGAGTCCACTAAGTTCTTAGCCTTTATTACTATTCCCTTCACCATGGTTTCAGACATCCCTGTATCCTTTAAAGTAAATGCACAAGTCCAGTCCCCCCATTCCACGTCTTCCATCTCAACCTCTGAGTCTCCCTGTAAGCATTCTGTTTCTTGTTCCATTCCCTCTTCACTGTTGTTACTTTTATCAGGTTTGTTACCTTCCATAAATAGTAGCTGTTTTTTTCTGTGATCTCTGTCTTTTACATTACTGTTTATCAGCCATTCAGCTGGTTTCTGGAGTGACTTGTCCCTAACCTCCCATTCTGAAGAGATGCCTATGTACGCCTGTGTAATTCGCTCTTCCTCATGCTTAACCATATCTTTCATAGCTGTTACAAATTTGTCAATCTGTTGGGGTAAAAATGACTGCCATCTTTTTAGCTTAGCGTTGAGCGATTCACAGGCATTTTGGGTGTATAACTCAGATTGCAATGGTTTCTTGTTCTTACCTGGAAGTCGAATATCATTTTGAAGTACAGACAGAACATGCATTTTTATATACTCAACAAATGTGTCCATTGAAGGATGATCAAATGATAACCAGCTCTTTATGAGTTCTTCAAAATCGTTTTCAAAGTTTTGTGTTTTCTTGCATATATCTCTTAGATCATCTATGATTTTTGAAGTGATAGTGTTGGGAAAACCCAATTTTCTACACTTGTCCTTTATATTTCTCCAGAGATGATTGGAACATCTATAGCCTTTTGCATATGGAAATGTTTCCTTTAATGAATCTATCAGGTTTTTTTCTCCATCAGTTCCAAAGGCCTTTAGTGTGTCTCTAAGCTCGGGTTTTTCTATGACAATGTCTTGGAAAAGGTGTATGTAGGACTGTTTGGTTTTGTCTTGGACAATTGACATTGGGCCGATCATTACTGGGGAGGCATCCGTTCCTTTTACCTTCAAGTCCAAATGTCTGTAACATGTGGTGAGAACCCAGAATGGTCCCAACTGAAAGGTAATATCAGCACTTAGAATGGAGAAATTGTCCCCGCTACAAAACATTGAGATGTCGTTGATTTGACGTTTGTTGTACAGGAGGTGAGCACTTGATTGGGGTGTACTATTTATGTTGATGGTTTGATAGAATTTATCCTTGGGATCCTCATTTTGCATGAGGGACAGAGCACGGAAAAATGGATCATCGACAGCGATGCCGACAGCCTTATCATAGTTAGATTTTCTGTTTATGTCAAAGATTTGTTTCTGGCCTCTTGGCATTTTGCACTGTGTGTCAACACTGGTGCTTGTCCCTACCGCTTGCATTACTGCGTGGCATATTCTTGATGGTCCTGCTCTCGGGTTTTCTTTTTTTTTTGTCTTTACACATTTGAATCGTTGAAGGGTTACATCTGATGTATGGCTGATTTTCTGTGTTTTTAGAATTACCATGTGGTTTTCTTAACACCTGCACAGGTTTCCCCTCAAATCTGTACTGAACAAAAACAAAGGGCAGCTCTTCCCCCCCTTCTGTGGCCCTTAATACTGCCTTTTTGAGTGTTGGTTCAGACCCACTGATATAGGATATCCTTTTTATTTGAACTTCGTTTCCTGACCCTTGTTTCTTATACACTTTTTTTTGGTATTACTATGCTTCCAGGCACCCATGGCATCTACATGTGCATCTTTGTAATGAACTGTTGCTGTAGTGTCAACTAAAAATGAACAGTTGCAGGAAATCTGTGATACTTGCAGCTGTGTGGAATGAACTGTTTGATCTGGAGAGAAAAGCAGCTTCAGGACCTCAAGGTTGGTGACGGGAGTTGTTCTGCCGTGGAATATGGCTGTCCTTTCCCCATGACATGGCTGCCTGGACTGAAAAGTAATGAAAACAACAAGGTATTGAAACATGCCTTATGATTTGATGTTATGCTATACAGATGTTCTAATCTGGTCTGATCTGATATTGTATGAATCTGTATGAGGATATGTATGTGTACATTATTAATCATGTACTAATGTATTGTTAAAAAGATGAAGAGTTGCTGTACTGATTTGGCAATTGGCTTCAATTGAAAATTGAACACCTGAATCATCAGTTGATCAAGAAGAATCCCTACTTATAAAGTCAACCCTTACCGTTTTGCCCCAGTCAATGCCACTGTTAGTATCGTCTTCGCTGGGCGGAACCTAAAACAAGAAGAAATAGGTTAGTGTACCCTCATGGCCGTCATCATCAATCACACAGCTCTTATGCTTATTTACAACTATTTTTTTATTTTGAATGGAAAACTGTCGTGATGAATGCATGTTAGAGAAAAAAAGTTGCAAAGTTGGAGGGGGGCAGGCTAGTAGGCCAGGCTACCTCCCCCTTTTAGGGCCCCACACCACCTGTAGAATTCTGCACAACTGCAATGTAACGCTCATAGCTTATTGTATCATGATCATATATGTTTAAGTATTATGATGTGTTAAGTAATCACACCGTTAGAGAGCATTTGTCTGTAACTGACTGCGCTTGTATGGCCTTGTATAACTGCCCTTTAGCGCAACAACGGTAAAAATCTGCATGTAAAATGCACCAAATCTTAATTCAATTGGCTTTCTTTTTTTCCTGATGAAGAAATCCAAGAAATAAAATTGTACTGTACCTGTTCTATCCTGCTTTCATTTTCACCAGAAGTAAGTTCAGAAGTGAGGTCAATGATGAACAAATCCTGGAAATAACAAATTGAAGGTCAATAAAACAATATAGGCCATTATCAATGTCAATTCGTGTGGCCATGTTTCTACGATGATGCCCTTTGAATCTGAATGGAGTGTATTTACATTCATCCAATTTATATTCTAGTTCAAGAATGGATTTATACTATGTTATGTATACAATCCGTCAAAGATTTCTAAACAAATACCCAGCAGTTGCTTTCCTCCCGAGCAAAAGAGCTACCAGTATTTACAATCCAAAATCCGTGACCCTAGATGTATCCTGACCACAAGATACCAAAACCTGAAGTTTCACTGCAGTACCATATCATGCCGATAGGGAGTCCAAGTCTTATCATCTAAAGTTATCAAAACTAGCATGGTTACCAAACCTATTATCTGTACAGTCTTGAGAGCCATAATACTAGTAGGTTTTGTAACCAGGCTAATTAAAACCACACACATACATAAATAAATATACTAACACTACCAAAAACCTGACCTTTTGGGAAGGTAACAACTTTCATCATGTACAGTGATTGGTACATCAAATAGCAAATACACGTACCTCGGATCCTGGTATTGCTGGACATTTCTGCAGCTTTTCCCTCTGCTGTAGTTTCTCTTGTGCTAAGGGTACCGGCAGTGTGTCTTCATCCTGTTATTAACATATAAAATTAAAGGACTATTGCTTCACATCTTCTTTTAATGTAGTCCCTTCACCTGTTTTTTTTCAAATTCTTCACTGACAGTAGCATAAAGTTGACATATGGTGCCAGATGTTATGAATTACACGTACTTGTAAAATTGCAGCATGTACAAAAATTGCAGGTTCTCACCTTTACTGTTGTGTAAGCCCTGGATGGTAGTGCCTCCCTGTTGTTCATTTTCTTCTTGTAGGGAGGACTGCGTTGAGCCTGGTGCGCTCCTGCAAACTTGCAATCTTCCTCCTGTGTTCAGATTTATCAACCAAGTTGTGTTTACTTGATGAAAAAATGTAACTATAATCGTGTGCTAAAGACCTCTAGCACGACTGTTATCCTGTCTGATACTTAGTGATAGATTATCCACACTTAGGGCTAGTTGAAAAATTGTCCAATTGTTCTTTTAGATAATTTAACCTTCAACCACATGTAATGTTACAATGTCCAGTTAGGTGATTTACATCAAGGAATACATACCTCTGAAGATGTCAACTGCCAGCTGCAGATTACTTTCCTCCTTTTCCGCTTACGTTGTTGAGGTTTCACCGTCATGCAGTCTTCTTCCTCAGATGTACACTGCAGTAAAACAGATTTAGGACTGGGTGTAAGAATGCAAGAATGTTCTCATTCTGGGAACAAGGTGGCTGTTTCTTTTCAACATGATGATGTTATAAGGAGACTATTGGAATGTAAATGTATATCCAACTGGTTAATATGAAACACACATAATTACTTGATCTACTTAAAGATTTCTTAGAGTAAAGTGACTTGAGACGGTTCAAACCTTCTCCCCAAAACGTACGAAGGAAAACCTGATTGTTGTATTTTATGAAGGAGTATCGGATTATTACCTCTTCTGTGTGCAACAGCTGAAATCTGTTTCCTTGTGGAATGTCAAGATCTGGCAAGGATCCTGACAAGGTGTCAACATCATCTGGACTACTGTAGGAAAGCTCGCTGTCATCCCAGGAGTCTTTCTCACTGCTCTCCTCAGTGTCAGGCTGTTGAACATAGAACAGAATAAATGTAATGAAATATGTTTTTCTCTCTTTGAATAACTCACATCACTGCTATGGTTAATGAGAATTGTTGAGTAGGTAGACATCAAAATTATCTTCACGGCTCCAATTTTACCTACATTTAATAACTTGAAATAACCTGCAAACAGTTCTACAAGGAGATTACAATATTATGAGATATGTGTATTACTCTCCGCCTGAGCTTATATTATGTAGGGTTATGCTACAATTTGACTTAATTTACCTGTTCATCGATATCTAAGCTGATAAAATGGGAGTCCCACACATGTCCTAATAGGACGACATCCCTTGTCTCTTCTTCCCTGGGAGTGGGAGACATCCTGCATGGCCGGATCTCGGTCAAGTACTCAGCTGGGGATGCCTAGATTGAACAAAAAGTAATGTCATGTAACTTGTTGACAACAAAAGCCCATTTTAGAAGGACACATTTTCAAGTTCACACGACTTTACTTAATTTAATTTCATCTGTTTGGAAATACAAAAAGTCTTGATGTTAAATGTTGTTGCTATAGCTTCCTAGGCGTCATGCAGATGTTGAATAAAAAATAAAATACTAAAACAGTTACGTCATATTCAGACACGTATTGTTCATGACCAACCCAACAGACTTATATGGGAGTAAACCTACCGACAGACTTGATATGATGTCTATTCGCACATCCAGGAGATTTGCCGCTGCTTGCAGTGTGAAGTGGTCCCCCACTCGCCCTCACGAGCCATCCGTTCTAAGTATGCAGCCCACTCCTCCTCGCCTCCCTTGAGTTGGGCCAAGGTATCGCTGCAGCCAGGCTTTGCATTGGAAAATGATATTTTCTTTTCAGTCTGGCTATTATAAGATTCAACACTGGTTTTCAAACCTCTTTGATATAAACTGATAATTTATATTTTACATTGAATGCTGAAATTAGAGATGTCAAACATCCGGAGTACCGTACAAGTCGCTAGAATGTCCATTACCTTCATTCATTACTCTAGCCCAGCTTACTTCCAAAATATCATTAGGATGTTGACTGCTCTTTACATGTAATATTCTGAAGATACTGGTGCAGTAAATAAGAACAATTGTAAAAAATGAGGATTCATATTTACCAACACAGGATTGTTTCTTAGGTACGTCACCGCTATGTCCCTCAGATATTCAGGGGACATAGTTGTGCCGCGAAGGCGCCGTAGCTGATCACAAATGGCGGAAAACTGACAGTTCCCGTCAAAGTTCATGTTGTTTCTGACACGAATCCCCTCCAGTGCCAGATTTGCCATAAGCTTCTCCCAGTGGAGGTCGAATGGTGTTAGCTCAGCTGAAGGGTAGAACAAAATTCTGATGAAGTACTATTGACGGCAAATTAAAACAAATGAGATGTTTTTAACCTGCCGTCCCTACCACCTGACTCGGGGCGAGTTTGCATAATCCTAACAGAAGAGCGTTAACCCCGCCCAATAGATCACAGGCCAATAGATATTATCGAGACCCCCTGAGAGTCGATCGTGGTTGGGGCGGGTTTTTTCGGTGCCGCACTAGGAGCTCTCTCCCGCCGGACCCTACTGACATGCGCGGGTCCTGTTTTCAACTAAATGCACCAATCTCTCGAAGCGACTCAGCGCGCCACCCTATACGAAATTGCTTAAATTTCATACCCCATTGACGTAAGAACACAACAAAAGCACACACATACAAAAATAAACGAAAAAAGTCAGCGTAAGACAGGGTGGACTTATCATAGAAATACGTATGTATAATAAACTATGACAAGGGCACATGAATAAAAAATGATTAAGTGTGACCAGACATCTGAACTGTGGCTCGAATTGGCACACAAGGTCTACCATCGTAAATGACCAATTGGCATACCTATAACATTGCTCCAAGCGTGTTTCACCCTAGCGTGGCACTCCAGTTCTTCGTAGTTCTCGAACAAATCGGCACACACATCACAAAGCCACTGTCAATGTGAATGACATTTACAGTTAATTTTATACTCATTCTACAACAAAATGAAAGGTAATGTTGGCCCGAAAGAAAACTACGCAAAATAACACCATCTAGAATTCAAATGATCTATTTCGAACGGTCACAAGACTTTTCGTCCCATATAGAACGTTCGTTCTCTAGTTCTTGTT